GGAACCTTCTTTAGTTATGCTTAAACACATACTGGTGGGGACTCACACATTGATTCGAGTTTCCCTGTTTATTCTAAGTTTGCGCCCTAAGATGTATCGGGGAACATGACTCTTCAAGTATCTCTAAATAGAATGCTTTCGTGGGCTCACTACATTACCGTCAACAGTTTGTGCAAATCAGCCCTGATAAATGTTATATATAATTTTCAAACCCATAGCTTTCAATCATTTCAATTAGGATTAATCGGAGAAATTTGAAATGTGAATGTTAAGTACCAAAGTTTCATAAAGGAAATGAAGCAATGCGACACATATGATTGATAATAGTGACTCTCTTGATAGCAAGAATTGCAATGATTGTATAAAGTACATGGCTTGTTATCAGATGTCTTATTGCTTCTGTCATCAGATACTCGGCAAGGAGTAATGAACTTGTTCAAGCTGCTGTGTTGCTTTTAGGGTCTTTGATAGTAAGTCTGCAATATTTCCATAGCCTTAAGCCTAAGATTTTCAAGAAGGTGATTATTGGTCATTCATTATTGAGGACCACCACATACTTCAGTAAAATTATTTCAACCACGGAGTCTCTTCGCTGTGTTGCTGTTCCTCCTTACTTTTGCTACCTGTCCTCTTGCTTGTCTGAGCTTGCATACAGGAACCAGAGTGAGAAGACAGAAGCAGCTTCCTTGCTTTAAACTCTATTTCCTGGTGGCATTGTATCCAGGAGAGAGCAACTGAGTGGGCAGCAGGCACAGGAGTAGCAGGAGGTCATATCTGAGAGTTGATATAGAACTCTTCTATTTTTAAATTTTGTGTGCATTCTTTGTATAGCCTATGCTGTTACTGCCTGTGGCTTCTTAGTCAGCCAATATTTCTTCTTCCAAAGCATCCCATCATTTAACATGTTTCAGTGGGAGGACACATTTTACATACATCTGGTTTTGAAAATGTCTCTCTCAGTTCATGCAAACTTCATCATTTGCAATCCAAACTATGGGGCTACTAATTTAAACAGCTGGATAGTTTAAGCGGCCCTTAAGGGATTTCTATGTACAAAATTTTGAAACTTAATTCCTACCTGTAGTGTAATAAAGCTGCAATAATGTATGCTCCAACTTCTACAATGTTCTTAGAAATAAAAGAGATAAACAATATCCTATTATAGCAGTGGTTTCCAACCTTTTTTTGACCAGGGACCACTCTCCAACATTAGTACCAAAAGGGTTACAAATCAGTTTTTGGTCAACTTTAGGTTCAGTTTGGTTATTTGGGATGCTGATTCAGAAAACTGCATTGGATCGACCACATCAGCCCTAGTTTCTGAAACAGAACATATGCCATCCACTAGTTACCATCTGCTCGCCCTCAAAAAACCATTATTTAATAATCTAGAGCTATTGTGATCTATGCAATGCAATTTTCTGAATCAGCACCCCAAATAACCCCAGAAGCAGGTTTGGGCTATGTTATTATCCATGGATTTTGTTAAGACTTGTGTTAAAATAAAAAAGAACTGGAGGATGCTGAGACTGAAAATAAATACAAAAAGCAGAGCTTGAGATCCAAGAAACTGTCCCTAATGGCTTGAAGGAGAAGGAGAAGGAGAAGGAGAAGAACTTACAAAGGGCTATTTTCCCATTACAACTCTTGTGTATGGCAATGAGAGATAATAATAATAATAATAATAATAATAATAATAATAATAATAATAATATAACAACAACAACATTGGAGGACTCTCCTTTTCTCTCCCGCTCTCCTCCAACAGCGCTAAGGAAACCATGAGAACGACGCTGGCCTCCTTCTTTCTTTCCTTCCTCTCTTTCTCTCCTTCCCCCCCTCCCTCCCCCCTCTCTCTTCTCCAGTGGCACCAGGGAAGCCGCGAGAGGGCAAGGGCAACAGCGCTGACCTCCTTCCTTCCTTCTCTTCCTCTTCTCTCTCTCTTCTCCAACAGTGTTGGGGAAGCCACGAGAGGGCGAGGGCCACAGCGCTTGCTTGCTTGGTTGCTTGCTTGCTTGCTTGCTTGCTTCCTTCCCCTCCCTCCCCCTCCCTCCCTCCCTCCCTCCCTCCCTCCCTCTCCTTCTCTTTCTCGCTCTCCTCCAAAGGCGCCGAGGAAGCTGCAAGAGGGCAAGGACAATGGTGCTGGCCTTCTTCCTTCCCTCCATCTCCTTCTCTCTCACACTCTTCTCCAATAGCGGAACTCACCCCCTACAGCCGACCTTATTTTAGGTCTCGTGACCCACCAGTGGGTCGCGGCCCACAGTTTGAAAACTGTATCATAGTAATGATGGGAATACAGCTCTTTGATCCTTAATCAGTTGGGACAGTTTTGGGAGGTTTCTATGCCAAAAATTACCTGGAAATTGTCCTCATATTAATAAAAATGTTGCTTTTGATTGCCTAAGTGGAGGCTCCATTTGTTTTGCTTCAATATTCACTTCATAATACATTAATACTTGCACTATTTTGAGAGCGGCTACACACTTTGTGAGATAACTGCTTCTGTGGCAGAGTTACTTTATTATCCACATTGCTGCAAGCATTTTTAAAACTGACTCATCTCGTTTGAGGTCCTTGTCACAGAGGTTTGAAACAATTACTGACTTAAGATTAAAAGGTATCTTTATTATACTTTGGAGCTTCCTTGAAACACCATTTTAGACTATCTGCACCCCCTTCAAGTCTTTTCCAACTAATGAAATCTCTAAGGTGAGGCTTTCTTTCTTGGCACAAAATATTCATAAGGGGGTTTCCCTTTGCCTCCCTCTAAGGCTGAGAGGGTGGAACTTGACTAAAGGCACCCAGTGGGTTTCCATGACGGAGCAGGGATTTGAACTTGGATCTCTAGAGTCTTAAGCCAGTGTTCAAACCACTATATCACACTGCTTCATTAAAAAGCTCTATATTAAAACTAATAATGAAAGGGGAGTATTAAAAGGCATTGAGGAGAGTATCAGGAGTAAAATAAATATATGCATAAGACAACTTAATCTCTTTTTATTTTTCTTTCACTGTTCTATGGTAATAATAATGTAATAATAATATAATATAAAATAATAATAATAATAATAATAATAATAATAATAATAATAATACAGACTTTACCTGCCCAGAAAATCAGGAGGCAAAGGGCTTCTGCAAGTGAAACAAATGATAGAAGAAGAGAAACATGCACTGGCAGATTATGTGAAAGGCAGTCAAGAACCAACATTGAGGGAAGTCAATAGTAGTAAACTGTTTAAAGTGCAAAAGAAAAAGAGGGAATACCGTAAAAACGCAGTCCAGAGCAGAAGAGAAAACTGGCAAAAGAAGGCTCTCCATGGACAGTTTCTGGCAAAAATTGAGAACCAAATTGACAAAGAAAAAACATGGCTGTGGCTCACAAATGGAACTCTGAAAAAGGAGATGGAAGGCCCGATTCTGGCAGCCCAAGAGCAAGCCATTCGAACTAATGCCATCAAAGCTAGAATTGAAAAGTTAGCAACAGATCCCAAATGTAGACTCTGCAAGGAAGCAGATGAAACAATGGATCACATCCTCAGCTGCTGCAAGAAGATTGCGCAGACAGACTACAAGCAGAGGCATAACACCATTGCTCAGATGATGCATTGGAACTTGTGCCACAAATACCATCTGCCTGCAACAAAGAACTGGTGGAATCACAAGCCGGAAAGAGTTACAGAGAATGAACATGCCAAACTCCTCTGGGACTTCCGGATTCAGAGTTTTGGAGCATAATACTCCTGACCTCAAAATCGTATTAAAAAACAAAGTATGGATCATAGATGTTGCAATCCCAGGTGACAGCAGGATTGCAGAGAAACAATTGGAAAAGCTGACATGATATGAGGATTTAAATATCAAACTGCAAAGACTCTGGCACAAGCCAGTAAAGGTGGTCCCAGTGGTGATCGGTACATTAGGTGCAGTGCTTAAAGACCTTGGCCTGCACTTAAACACAATCGGCGCTGACTAAATTACCATCTGCCAGCTGCAGAAGGCCACCTTACTGGGATCTGCACGCATTATTCGCCGTTACATCACACAGTCCTAGACACTTGGGAAGTGTCTGACAAGTGATCCAATTCAACAGCCAGCAGAGTGTCTGCTGTGGACTCATCCTGTTGTGTTTCAAATAATAATAATAAACTTTATTTGTATTCCACTCTATCTCCCCAAGGGAACTCAGGGCAGATTCCAACATAACAGTGGCAAACATTCAGTGCCTAGTAAATACACGATACCAACATAAAATCCCAGAAAAACCCACATATAAAAGTAACATTAAAACCTAACATAAAATTAAAACCTAACATCAGTTAATTCAACCTGACATCAATACATTAAACTTCATGTAATCAGACAAAATTCTATAATAACATAAAATCTAAACAAAACATCCATATTAGTGTACAAAAGCTAGCTAGAATTCACAAAATGGTGTGGGTTGGTTATGTAGTCAAATGAGGTCATTGGGCTGGTGTGACCAGAGAAGGCCAAATATGAATAGTTCTCAATCAGAGGCCCGACAGTGATATCTCGACCATCTAATCCTCCTTCTCTCCATATGCTAGTGAGCAAAAATAGGTCTTCAGTTGTTTTTTAAAGGAGAGGAGGGAGGGAAGCAGCTTTATTTCTTTAGGGAGGGAGTTCCAGAGCTTATCTCCTGAATGATTCTCCCAGGTTTACTCATCTTGGGAATACTGTTTTTTAATTGCTGTATTTCTATATACATGTTGCATGGCAAGTATTTCTGGGCATCTCAAACAATTTGTATGAATGTTTGCTCTATAATAAATATAAAACATATTTTACCTGTGATGTATAAGTTCATTTCAAACAGAACCATTTTCAAAATAAATCAGAATAACATGTAGTTCTAGTGTTGATGGAAAGTTCTAGTTGCTTTTTCTAAACAAACCTTCACCAACCTAATGAGACCTGAGATGGTGACAAAATATCTCCAGTTCTAATTCTCTTCTTTTTCTTTTCTCTTTAAGGAACTACTAATCTTTTTACAGAACCTACCCACAATGCATTGGGGAAATGAAGAGATCAGTGTTCTCCTCGCAGAAGCCTACAGGCTGAAGTTTGCATTTGCAGATGCTCCCAACCATTACAAGAGATGAAAGAACAAAAGAAATAAATGTATACTGCTGTTGTGGCATCATTTTTCATTATTCTTGTTGTGTGAAACACCGTTACCCACCCAATTATTCATGTGAAGCGTTCCAGTATAGTTCTGCAAGAACCTATGTGATCATTGGATTACCAAAGAAATGGACAACACAGAAGACCATGTTGGTTTCAAAGGGAACATTTTTGTTCAATGCCTACAGAAAAGTTGGAAGCTCCCTTTTCTTATTATCATGCTTCCGTTTTCCTTCAGTAATTGACTTATTATGTTAATGAAGAAAGTGTTTTATGTTCATTGGTATCTAATGACTGATTGTCTTGTCTCCATGAGCTTTATTCCTAGTTGATTGTGTTCATTATTTTGATGGAAATATTTCTGGTGTCTGGTGTGCTTGGGAGCTAATAGGAATAATCAGTCTTGCATTGAAAATGAGGACAAATGAATTGGGTGGTAAGGTCACATAGGAGTTGTATGGGCTTGTTTTTATTTTAGTTTGAAACACAAAATATTTAAATACCTTTAGTGTTATCTTTGTTTACACAAATAAACCAAGTTAACAGATTTCAGTGGAACACAATGTTGAGAACTTGAAAACTATGCCACATACATGAACACAAGAAATCCCCAGATGTTATACACTGTGAAGGGCGAATAGTGTTAATAACTTATTTCACTTTACTTTCTGCAGTGTGTTGGCTGTACATTAAGAAATGGCTCTCTTCTGCCATAACAATGTACACATAACTTAATGCTTAAAGCTATCAAATATTTTCAGTATGTAGACTTCTAATCGTCAAGGATTTTTTTAAAAATTGAGAACCTTAATTTACAGTAAAGGATATATTTTAATGTGTGATTGCCTTATGATGAATTTCTAACATGATTGGAACAATTAAAAAATGGATCTTTATCTGATGCATTTTATGTCTAACTCCACCAAACATAGGCTGCTTTGATTGTGGAGGAAACACAGAAATAGTTGCTCTCCCAGCCAACAACCAAGTTTCTGCTTCACCCTTTCGCATGGATTTTTAATTGTGTTAAGCAAATTTTGGAACACAAGATAGAGGGCGATTCTGCTATTCGAGTCTCCCTGTTTGCCATTTCAATTTGCTTTACTTACCAATTATGTTGGCTAAAAAAAGAAGTTTGCTAGAGGAATTTGCCTGTATAAGATATGCATTTGAGGACTAATGCACAAGTTGATTGAAAATTTTGTCTCACCTGAAAACATCTAACAAATCAAACTATGATTTTGGTAACTTAAGTTGCTGCACTTTATAGAAGGCTCTAGCAAACATTAATAGTTATTAACCTACTTTAAGGGCCTATTTATCCAAATAGTACACTTGTAGTATCCAATGTTAAAAGTTATCCCTGCACTGGACAATTTTGGGCGAAATAGAGGGGGTTTGGATATTTTTTACATAAATGTGCATAGGAAGCCAGCATACCATCGAGAAGGTGATGCTGCACTTTTCGTCCATCTGTCCCAACTAGACTCACTGTCCCCAAATGAGATGGGATGATGAAAATAGTATTTTATCAACACCTGCAGGGGAATGGGTCCCCTAGCCCTCATTTTGGAAACATTTTTTCTTAATTGGATTAGCCCTAAACTGTGTAGATCTTAATTTCAAGAGCTCTTCAAATGTGCCTTTTGGTTTTGCTTTGTATGTCTTTCAGTTTAGCTGTACTTGTTATATTGCTGCCTAACAGAAGTGTAGAAGCCTCAATATATAAGAAGAGTTGTTTACTGTCCCACAGCCCCACACACACTTTGGAGGATTGGCTTTAAAGAGCGATAGATTCGTGTTCTTAAGAGGCTATAAAGATATCTTAAGGGTATTATATATATATATATATATATATATATATATATATATATATATATATATATATATATATTGAAAAATTATTTACAAGTGTCTTACTATTTAGCCATGCATATTTTGGGGACGCTGGGTGTGAAATCCAGGCTTCCCCTAGTTTAAATCCTCATTTTCCCGAACACATGGCTGTTTAATAGCTTTATTGAATTAATACAATTGTTCTGTGATTTTCTGGATTGATGGGTATGGCCACTTTCATGGGGATGGAGAGCTTCCAAGACAACAATAAAGGGGGAGCTGGTGGTGCTGCCTTACCTAAGCAATCACAATACAACATTGCTTAAAGGAGAAGACATATACTGCTACAACACCTATCCTTCCAGAAAGTAATATAATGTGCATGGGAGGTTGGGTCTAGTATTAGCAGATACTGCCATAGGAGGTTTTCATCTTGTCATGAAGATATTACATAGTAATACATGTTATGGAGATAGAATTGATTTCTGTGGCATAGTTCAACATTTCTACAGAGCACGGGGTATGTGTCTTACTCAAACACCAGATAACTGCTAACTTTTATGTTCATATATGATTTCTCTGCCATTTTTGTCTCTTACGTTTACAAAGTGTCATGTTGTGCCTAACAAAACTTCTTCCAGTAGCAGAATACAAAACTAAAATAGTAAAAACATAATACCTGTTAATGACGAGGAACATTTTTAAAAAGGAAAAAAGTGCAATTTCCGTACACATGGGATTTTTAGAAATGCAATTATAAGGAGTCTGTGATATTATATTGGGGGGGGGGGGATATTTGAGGAACAAGAATAATAAGCTTCCTTTATAAGTTCTATTTGTGATCTGACTCATCGCAGCTTCCAAGCTCCATTAGGAGTTAAATTGCTTCCTCTTGAAAAACTAAGAAGTATATCATAGTGGGGGAAAAACCTGGAAAAGCTAGAAAAAGCAGGTTAAGCACATCAGATTTTCCTAAATGCAGAACGTGCATTCTTGTTTTATACAAATGGGGTATTTTGCAGATGACTGATATAATTTCATGCACATCTTTCCCTATATACATAGTATGTATTCCCTATATACCTTTCTTTTAAAAGGGAATTAATCTTAGTTTTTGATAGTTTTTTGTATCTCAGGTAAAGTGCCATCCCAACCAAATGTTACGTGGAAGACATATTTCTGCCATTTCTACATCCTTTTACTAGAACAAGAAAAGTAACAATTAAATTGGTATTTAATATAGCTATTCTTCTGTTAATATTTTCAGCATAGAAAAAATATCAGGACATCCAGTAATGTAACCTGATTTGTAGTTTCCTAAAAGTTCATCAGGAAAATGCTGAAGATGCTGTTGTCATAAATGCAATATTAACTAATCTCTGTAACAAAAAGTTGTACAGTGCAAATAACCAATTTATATCTATGGCATATGCTTTGTAAATAGTAAACAATATATTGAAATGTGTAAATATAATACAAGGAGGAATATTAACTATCAATCATCTGTACATCTTAAATATAACAAACTAGTTGCACTAGTCTTTAATTTGATATGGAAGAACCCCATAGATTTGTATTTAACTTGAGAACTCTAAAATAAAATGTAAGTACCTAAAACTGATGCTGAGATATGTAGTTTTTGGGGAACATTTCTGGCTACTTCCTATATTGGAATCTTTCTTTAAACATAGAAATACTCTTGGGAAACAACAACTAGGTGATGACTGCACCAAGTGTGTGTGTGTGAAAAGACCAATTTGATCTGTGTTTGGAAGTAGGCATTGCGTTTAATACATGACTATGGGATTGCAACACTAAACTTTTTTTTCAGACTTTGTTGCATACTGCTCCCAACGATTTGTCATGCCATGAATGGTGAGAGGAATGAGATACTAGATGTTTCCTTTGTGAAAACTAGAAGATCTTTCTTTTATTAGTAACAGTCAAACTACATTGTCCTGTAGCAGGAATATGTGGCACTAAGAACTGGTAGAGATGGGTTTATTCTTTGAAAATACTTTCCTCGTTTGTTTATTTGTATTTGAGTGTTAATATATATTTTTTTAAAAATACAGAGGAAAATAGGAAGAAAGGATGTTGTTGTTGTTCATTCGTTCAGTCGTCTCCGACTCTTCGTGACCTCATGGACCAGCCCACGCCAGAGCTCCCTGTCGGCCGTTACCACCCCCAGCTCCCTCAAGGTCAGTCCAGTCACTTCAAGGATGCATCCATCCATCTTGCCCTTGGTCGGCCCCTCTTCCTTTTGCCTTCCACTTTCCCCAGCATAATTGTCTTCTCTAGGCTTTCCTGTCTCCTCATGATGTGGCCAAAGTACTTCAACTTTGTCTCTAGTATCTTTCCCTCCAGTGAGCAGTCGGGCTTTATTTCCTGGAGGGTGGACTGGTTGGATCTTCTCGCAGTCCAAGGCACTCTCAGAACTTTCCTCCAACACCACAGCTCAAAAGCATCGATCTTCCTTCGCTCAGCCTTCCCTAAGGTCCAGCTCTCACATCCGTAGGTTACTACAGTGAATACCATGGCTTTGACTAGGCGGATCTTTGTTGCCAGTCTGATGTCTCTACTCTTTACTATTTTATCGAGATTGGACATTGCTCTCCTCCCAAGAAGTAAGCGTCTTCTGATTTCCTGGCTACAGTCTGCATCTGCAGTAATCTTTGCACCTAGAAATACAAAGTCTGTCACGGCCTCCACGGTTTCTCCCTCTATTTTCCAGTTGTCAATCATTCTTGTTGCCATAATCTTGGTTTTTTTGACGTTTAGCTGCAACCCGGCTTTTGCGCTTTCTTCTTTCATCTTGATTAGAAGGCTCCTCAGCTCCTCCTCGCTTTCGGCCATCAGAGTGGTGTCATCTGCATATCTGAGGTTGTTAATGTTTCTTCCAGCAATTTTCACCCCAGCTTTGCATTCATCCAGCCCCGCACATCGCATGATGTGTTCTGCATACAAGTTAAAAAGGTTGGGTGAGGGATGCAGCCTTGCCGTACGCCTTTCCCAATCTTGAACCAGTCTGTTGGTCCATGGTCAGTTCTTACTGTTGCTACTTGGTCCTTGTACAGATTCCTCAGGAGAGAGACAAGGTGGCTTGGGATGCCCATCCCACCAAGAACTTGCCACAATTTATTATGATCCACACAGTCAAAGGCTTTAGAATAGTCAATGAAGAAGAAATAGATGTTTTTCTGAAACTCCCTGCCTTTCTCCATTATCCAGCGGATATTGGCAATCTGGTCTCGTTCCTCTGCCTTTTCTAAACCCAGCTTGAACATCTGGCAACTCCTCCATGTATTGCTGGAGTCTTCCTTGCAGGATCTTGAGCATTACCTTACTGGCATGAGAAATAAGGGCCACTGTACGGAAGTTTGAGCAGTCTTTCGCATTTCCCTTTTTTGGTATGGGGATATAAGTTGATTTTTTCCAGTCTGATGGCCATTCTTGTGTTTTCCATATTTGCTGGCAAATGGCCTGCATCACCTTGACAGCATCATCTTTTAAGATTTTAAAAGAAAGGATGTACTGGTAAACATTCTTTGCCTTACTGTGTTTTCGAATGTGTAACATGTAAGTAAATCAAGGATGTAAACCTTGACCTAAATTGACGTGCTAGCCCTGACTAAAGTACCTACTGAACCAATCACTAAATGTCATGTCAACGTTTATGGAAATCTCATTGGTTCAGTGGGATGTACTCTGCAGTTAGCTCTCCACATTCAAGGGGGTTAGGAACAGAGGACTCCCACAGATATGGAAAACATGCAGATATCTCTGGGATCTTCTTGGGGTTGGCAAGGGGCCAGGGAGAGAACACAGGGCACCGCTGCTACCACTATTATCCCTAGGAGCCCACTAACCCTTACCTGGCCTTCCTCCTTTTCTCTCCACTCACATTCTCTCCCTGCCTCTCTCTCTGTTGATCAGGGTTAATGTGGCAACACTGAGTGCAATGTAAAGGAGCCCAGAAGGGTAGCGATGGACGGGAAAGCCATAATGAGTATGTGGGGAGCAGAGCCGCTTCCTCCTATACTTGCTCCCCTTCCTGCCTCTTCCCTTTCTGCCTTTCTCCTTCAACCGAGGCTCATGCAGAGTCAGAGTGCAGTGTGAAGGAATCTGGAAGGGCAGTGAAGGACAGAGGGGCAATAACATGGGGAGAGGAGCCACATGCCCCCCTTCATACCTCTTTCTCTGCCACTTTCCCTCCCTGCCTCTACTTCAATTTAAGGTCTTGTGGGGGCATAGAGTGCAGTGTGAAGGAATCTGGGCCGTGATGAACAGGGAGACCATAATGAGCACATGAGGAGTGCTCTCCTTTCTGCCTTTTTCTCTGCCACCTTCTCTCCTGCCTCTCTCTCACCCCCATAATCAGGGTACATATGGGGGTGCCAGGCACAGTGGGAAGAAGGAGTCCAGGAAGGTGGCTAAGGCAATGGCCAAGGAGGGCATGGAGAGCATTCACTGAGCAGAACCTCTTCTTTCTTTGCCCACAGAGCAGTCAGCTTCAGGGGTGGTTGGTGGTAGTTAAGATGCTTACTGGTGTGCCCCCTCCTATAGCCCAAGGTTATAGGAACACAGCAGCCTTGGGTTTTAGGAGGGGGAGAGAGGGTTTAGAGGCCAAGTGGCTGTAGATAAAATTAGAAAAACTAATTAGGCCTTTATTGCCTAATTATGAGGAGAGGTCTGACATCAGTGATGGATATTAAGCAAAAGGTTAGCTAAAGACCCCAAAGGTACCAGTTCCCTTTTGATCTTGGAAGTCAAGCAGGATTGGGGCATATATG